TTTTTTTCATGAATATGACTTAACCTGATGGAGGACGCGCTCAGTCATTCAGGCAGTCACTCTCTCGCTCTCGCTCTCTCTCTCTTGCACGCTGTTTAGGCATGTTTTGTGCCGTTGATCGTCGTCGTCGTCCTCAATAAATAAAACCTTTATTCATGTTATATTAACATGTTATATTATGCTTAGGTGTCGGCGGTGAATTCAGTGGAGAGAAATCCCCCACCACTAACTGCAAACTGGCATTCAGATCTGCCTCCATTTTGTTAGCAACGCCCCAACTTCCAACGATCCAATCAATTCCCGAAGGACAAACTCAAGTCCCGCCCTCTCATTTCAGATGCCGTTTCACTAGGATATACGTCACAGTAGAGAAGAAAAGACAATCGCAACTTCCGTTTCATGCCGACTTTAGTGTATAATCAAAGAATTACATATTCCAGTGCCTTTAGTTCACAGTAATGGTCCATTTCATTAGCAGATTATATGTATATATAACCACCAAATTCATTCTTTGCCACTAGGCGCTGCTTTTGGAGCGGTAAAACAGCTGTTTCCCCGGTAACGGCTGTACACAAAGCAGCACTGCGCTCACAAACGCTGCTTTATCAGGCATTACAGGCATGATGAAATGAAAATGAGACCAATCGGACCAATCACTGATCATGATCTACAACCCCTGGCAAAAATTATGGAATCACCACACTTAGATATTGTTTACCCAAAATGTTTATTTCATAACAAATAAACGAATCACAGATATCACACAAAACCATTTTTTTTTAAATAATTCAACATTCTGGTTATTTGAAACATACCTAAAAAAAAAAAAGATATTAAACTCTTTTAATTAATGAACATTTGTTTTCCATATAAAGTAGAGGAAAAAAAAAATGGAATCATTCAATGTTGAGGAAAAAATCATGGAATCATCTACCAAAACACACAGTTAGTACTTTGTTGCTCCTCCTCTTGCTTTTATGACGGCCTGAATTCTTTGGGGCATGGACTTCTCTAATGAAAAACAATATTCTTCATCAAGCTGGTTCCAACTTTGCAAGATGCATTATCATCCTGAAAAATGACATCATTATCACCAAACGTCTTTTCTATTGATGGAATGAGAAAAGTGTCCAAAATTTCAATGTACACTTGTGCATTGACTGTTGAGGTAAGGATTGCCATTTCCGCAGGTCCTTTACCTGACATGCTGCAACCCCATACCATAAATGAGTTGGGAAATTTGGTTGTTTTCTTCAGGCAGAAAGAAAGAACGGCACCAGACAAAAGTTCCAGCATCATCTCCTTGTCCAATGCAGATTCGTGATTCATCAATGAATATCGCTTTCATCCAATCATCCACACTCCATGACTGCTTCTCTTTAGCCCACTGTAACCTTGTTTTCTTCTGTTTAGGTGTTAATGCTGGTTTTCGTTGGGCTTTTCTCTATTTAAATCCCATTTCATTCAGCCGGTTTCTTACAGTTTGACTCCTGTCTCCGCCCATTTGTTTTTCATTTGTTTCGTTGTGCATTTTCTATTTTCAAGGCAAATTGCTTTGAGTTTTCTATCCCTTCTTTGGTCTTCCTGTAAGTTTTCCTTTTGTAACCTTTCCATTTTGTTTATACTTGCACCAAATTTTAGAAACAGCTGACTGGGTCCAATTTCTTTTGCCGCACTCCGTGATGGTTTTCCTTCTTGAAGGGATTTTAGAATCCTTTCCATTGTTTCAAAAGACATTAATCTTGTTGGGGCCATGTTTCCTTTCAATTAGCCAAGTCCAACAGCTCGTTAAGGTCTGGAAGCACTCTCTTTTAACTGCTGACTAATTAGCATTTTAGATATGTGCCGGTATTTATTTCAGAGATGCAAATTACAAGCTGATTCCATATTTTTTTTCCTCAACATTGAATGATTCCATAATTTTGTTCTCTACTTGATATGGAAAGCAATTTTCCATTAATTAAAATGTTTGAGGTATTTGAATTATCAGGCAAAAATTATTTTGTGTCATATCTGTGATTTGTTTATTTGTTGTAAAGTCAAAACTTTGGGTGAACATCTTCTGAGTGTGGTGATTCTATAATTTTTGCCAGGGGTTGTAAAAATCTACAAATTAAATACAAATTCTGATCTTAACCAAACTATAACCAAATAAACTTTTTTGGAAGAAGAAAAAAAAAATGTACTAGATTTTTTTTTTCTCTAAAATGTTTGTTGTACAAAGTAATGATTCTTTGCCACAAAAAAAGACAAATAAAAATGAGAGAAAAAATTGCACATAAATAGAACATTAAATGAAAATATAACAAAAATTACATGTATTTAACTAATGCTATGACTTTTACATTACATGAATTTAATATTTGTTTTATATTTTAATTTAAAATATTACAGAGGGCAAGATGAATCATCTGGATGGGGTCAAAACTGAGAAATCCTGGCAACTGAAATTTTTTCAATGACCAATGATACAATATTAGATTTAAAGTGCCCCTATTATGGATTTTTGAAAATTACCTTTCATGCGGTGTGTAACACAGCTCTAAGTGAATGAAAACATCCTGCAAAGTTTTAAATCTGAAAGTGCACCGTGTATAAAGTTATTGTCTCTCAAAAGAAAGAGTCGACTCTGAATCATTGAAACGAGTCGTTTTTAAAACGAATCCCAAGCCGTTTCATGTTGACGTCAACATGAAACATTAGCATATTGCCCGCCCACTTGTTGGTCTTTTCGCTTTGGTCTGAATGAAAATGCAAATTCATTCTTTGCCACTAGGCGCTGCTTTTGGAGCGGTAAAACATCTGTTTCCCCGGTAACGGCTGTACACAAAGCAGCACTGCGCTCACAAACGCTGCTTTATCAGGCATTACAGGCATGATGAAATGAAAATGAGACCAATCGGACCAATCACTGCAGATTAGCGTCATGCAAAGGAGGGGTTTGGAAAAAAGATTCGTTGAGCGAATCGTTTGGGAGTCATTGAGCAAGTAAGGTAAAAATAAATGCATATTATAAGACAATGAAAGTGTTTTTTGACCTTGCATGCATGTCAACCTGTTGTTGGGGACTCCCAAAACCAAAATATGAACCTTTCATTACCCATAATAGGGGCACTTTAAGATTTATGTATTTAAATTGCATATGCAATTTAAATCCATTTGAATTTTCATTTTTGAGTGAACAATCCCTTTAATTAGCACAACACAAAAAAATATATAAATATTTTAATACCTTTTCCCTTTTCATATCAGAAAATTATACTGAAAATACACTTAAAATAAATATTATATATATATTATATAATTTACAATAATTATTTATATATAATATATCATATATATAAGTTCCCAATGCAGGTTCGGGAGGAGCCTAATCATCCAGTCCTGTCAATCACCGCATATAAGCAGCAGACATTAGTCTGTTCCAATGACAATTCTTCCGGCAACCCTCCACCACCCCTTCACCTCCTATAAATTCTTCTCTTTTTCCTCCACAACTTATATACACATGCATGTAACATGCAGGCTCTTTTATCTAAAGTAACTTTGCGATCAATTTTAACAGTTGATGCGTTCAGTGGGAATCAAACAGGTGTTGCCATGCATAAGATACAGGAATGAGCTGATTCTGTTTCTATTTTAAGACAAATGACTAAACTGACAATCGAAGCATGAATCCACAAACAGAACACAGTTCTCAAGAGAAATGGGCTGAGGTGAAGAAACCCACCATAATGACAGCTGATGCATCAACACCCTCCATTTCTCCAATGCATTTATAATTCTTTATCATAATCATCAACACACAACAGCAGCTTCATTTCATATTAAACTGCTGCTGGAGTTCACAATTAATTCAAACACACAGTCTCTGCACAAGCACAAACACAAACACCCTCAAAGTGGAAGTAGAGGAGGAGTCACACAGACGGGCGGCAGTGAGTTTACTATTCCTGTCAGCCGCCCAAACACATGACCTTTCACTCACACACCATAAGTGGAAAACAATTATGTAAAGGCACCATATGAGGCGTGTGTGTGTGTGTGTGGTCAGGCAGATTTTAGCCTGTGCTGATGCAGTTAATTCTGGAACCTCCATTCATACCTGCATTCAGTTCAGACCCAAACCCAGAGCAGAGCCGCTCATTTACTTCAGACATCACGGCCCCTCCGAACAGAACAGAATGCTGCTGCTATACTCACACTGACTAGTGCTGTCAGATATTAATATTACAGCCAGTTATTAATAACACTGCCAGATATTATTGGTTCACTGCAGTGAGCAGTTATGAAACAACGGCTACAGTCCAAAGCTCAACAAAAATTTTTTTTACTTGACATGCCAACATTTTTAATAGAGCCAACACGCACACACACAAAATGATATTATAGCAACACATTCCCTTATTTGTATAAAAAAATATGCTGAAAATCTTTCAAACAAATGTAATATAATATAATATAATTAATAAAATAAAATAAATATAATATAACATAATATAATATAAATTATATTCTACATAATATTTTACATATACTTTTAATATATTCTAAATATATCATACAATTATGTTTGTAATATTTAAAATGTCATTTAATATAATAAAATTAAAATACATATTACTGCTTATACACACACACATAATAAAAAATTATATACAATTATAATATATACATATATTTTGTAATCGATACATACATGTTTGAATTATATAAATATGCATATTAACAATTAAAAATTATGTAAACAATTAGAAATTATATGTGACCCTGGACCACAAAAGCAGTCTTAAGTCGCTGGGGTATATTTGTAGCAATAGTCAAAAAAACATTGTATGGGTCAAAATTATAGATTTTTCTTTTATGCCAAAAATCATTAGGATATTAAGTAAAGATCATGTTCCATGAAGATATTTTGTAAATTTCCTACCGTAAATATATCAAAACTTAATTTTTGATTAGTAATATGCATTGCTAAGAACTTCATTTGGACAACTTTACTTTAAAGGCGATTTTCTCAATATTTAGATTTTTTTGCACCCTCAGATTCCAGATTTTCAAATAGTTGTATCTTGGCCAAATATTGCCCTATCCTAACAAACCATACATCAATGGAAAGCTTATTTATTCAGCTTTCATATGATTTATGAATCTCAATTTCAAAATTGACCCTTATGACTGGTTTTGTGGTCCAGGATCACATATACAGTATGTGTGTACATATATATATGTATGTGTGTGTATAAAATTTTTTTAAAATTAGTAATAGTTTAAGTAATAATAGTATAATATTATACACACATATACAAAAACATGTGTTTTATAATATTTAAAAATTATATAAAATTAGAATACATTATATTGTTTACAATTGCAATAATAACAGGATAGTGTAAAGGCCACGTTGCAAAACATTACTGATTTGTTTATAATGATCAAACCATCTTAACTGATGCTGGCAAGACTTTCACAAGAAGTTTTGCAATTTCAACAAAACCTCATCTAGCAGCTAGATAACGTTACACTGGTGACAAATTGACTTCAGATGACTATAGTAATGTTGAAGTATCACAGCACACTAAACGGTAATAATAGCAATAAAGCACATTTACATAATCAATAAAACATTGGATTGCAAGAACTCAAGCACCCTCCCGACATTGTCAACCAGCCTGAAACAGGTTTGCACCTGTCAGAATAACTGTGTGGCATCATGATAAAAATGATTCATTCATCAGCTAGTCTGAAAGTCGCTACAGTAGCAGCGCTGTATGACTGTGTGTTATGGAAACATTTACCACAGTAACATTTGCTATGACGACCACAACTGACAGCTCCATCTGCCTGTTTACACAGCATGTGTGCTTAAATACTGCGTGTATATATAGCATCTAATAACTGTCTTAATTAATCATCTGAAGATTTTTCTTTCGAGTTGGAGGAGTTTGTGTTCTTTTCTTCCTCTGCCAGCTCATATCAGTTTCTCTGTGACGTGACGTGGAGCGAATGATTGAATATCTCCTCTAGGGAGATCAACAAAAGCCTTCGGACGGTTCCCGCAGACAGCGGCCCTCATCTGCCTTTCAGAAGCTCCTCTGTTCTCCGTCAGCGCCTTTCTCTCATGCGGCTCAATGTCCTTGTGCACAAAAATAAGATCAAACTCAGACGTCACATCCACTGAGACAGACGTGACGGAGCACAGGAGAGATTGTGTGTGTTTGTGTTTCACAGGACTGGCATCAGCTCTATTTGCATTTCGTACAGAGACAAATAAAGCCGAAAGCCCTGGAAGTTAAACACGCTGAAATGCAGGGTAACTAATGAAAGCTGTCAAAAACACATCCGGCTCTATTTCACCACAAACTCAAAAGATAAGAATAAGACGTTGATTTTTTTTGGTTACTACTGGTGCCATCCGTGATTATTTATATGAAATAAACATAATTTTTGCAGCAATTTCACTCCAAAAAATATCAAAACAACAAAAATAAAATCACATATACACAGACACAAACATAAATATATATAAAAATTGCGATTAATCAGAATTAATTAAAACGCATCCAGAATAAAAGTTTTTGTTTACATAATATATGTGTGTACTGTGTATATTTATTATGTATAAATACACATACATACAGTATATATTTTGAAAATATTTACATGTATATATTTATATTCATATAATTTATATTATATATA